CAATTTTTCCCCCCCCTTAAAAATAGCACCTGGGGCACCCTGTGTGGCATGTTTCATGTATGAATTGGAAAGGCGGATTTTGCTCGAAATCCAAGTTCTATAGGCAAAGACTACTAAAAAATCAGCTAAAACTTCGCCTATTCTCTATACTTCAATAGAAATGTTGAAAAAAATCGTCAGGAAGTCTTACAGTCCTTTTGTAGGCATTGAACTTTCCATCTACATCATACAAACTTTATTAAAAACACCAAAATCTCAATTTTAAATCCCAAACTAGTTTCATTGAAAAAGCAACTGAGACCCGGACTAAAACAAGTTTACGGGGCCGGGATCGGAACTAAAAATCTTTGATCCCGCTCATATCTAAGAGTAACGTATATAATAAATAATAATATCTTATTTCTAATTTTACTTATGATTATCTGATAAAATTTTATCTACATACAAATACAAAAATATATTAGCACTTACTTTTTAAACGTATTTTTTAATTTTTCGGATGGAGCTTGTCGTTCGACCTTTTGTAATTCTGGTGTATCAATTTCATCATCTGGTTTATTGAACATTTTTGTAATATTTCTTAATCGTGCTAAGGTATCGCCTGTTGAAGCTGCAAAATGAAAAAGAGAATGATAAATGAAAATATTATTTTATTTATGAAAAAAAAACACACAGACCGCCTTATCTTATTTTCACATGGTCGAGAAATATAAGAAAAGTTGAAGAAGAGAGGTTATTGTGATGAATAATAATGAAGAGAAAACAAAAACATTCAGAATATTAGAACAGTATCCGTATTATTCACAGTTAAGATTTTGACAATAGAATATTATTCATACTAACATGTATGATACTGTTGAAAAGTAATTTAATAATAGAAAAAAATAAAGTTCATGCACAGAGTCGTGGGAAAAAGTGCTTTTTCTTATTCAAATCTGAAAATTTTCTATTTCTGACGAGACGTATTGTCAAAAGTTTAAGAAAAAACTTTTTTTTGAAACGAATATTATTTTCCTATGGAAGTTGTTTTTTTCGAAAATTTTTGACAATACGTCTCACCCAAAATAGAACACCTTCTGGGATTATCGGGTGTGTTGAATAGAAAATAGCACTTTTCTGCGACTCTACAAGAATTTTATTTTTGCGGTCATGATTTTTTTCAACACCATTTTTAATCGCACTGATAAATCAAATTCCACTGTATATTCAAATGATTAGTTCGAAGTTTTCATCGTATAGTTGTCGAATCGTGAATTGAGAGAATATAACATAACACCATCAAAAGAAAAAAAATAAAGTTCATTTAGAGTTGTACTTTTCTGTATTCAGCATACTCGATAATTCAGCAGATTTTCTATTTTTGACGGGTGATACCGTCATAGAATTTTAGGAAAATTTTTCGAACAAAATGACGCAAAAAATCGAAAAACTACTTTTTCACGATTCTAAATGAACTTTACTTTTCTGTCGATGATATGATAAATCTCTGAAACGATAATGATCTATTTATCGTGATATGAATACACGATACTCTGTATTTGTATTTTCACGTTCATTTCCAAAATGTTCTAGTGTCCAACAAGAAAAAACGTTTTTTTTTTATTTTTTAACTAGAACATAGCTAATATTTGACAGTGTTGACAATTAGACTTCCTGATTTCCTGATGGTGTAAAAGAGATGAGAGCTTATCCATCTTTTTTATCATATCAAAAGTGCACTACAAAATGAATACATGAACGAACGAATCGATATTAACTGTGTTAATCTATACATATGACTAAACCTATCAACATCTTAATATTATTAATATAACGAGTCAGTGACTTCGCGATAATATCCCATTCTTTGCATACAATTTTACAAAGTTATATGAACCACTTTTTTTCAGACTAAAGACTTTGATTGATTGTTGATTGTATATTTGATTTAAACTATATATTTAGAAATAGAATGTCATTTAATAAAAAGTCTAGAGTGAATAGAAATGAAAAATATATTTAAAATCTTTTCTAATCTCTGTTGTTTTTTTTTGAAGAAAAATAATATTACATGCAAGAAAAACATGTTTATCTGTCTTTCAGCATACATACATTCATCTGTTGGAACTTCAGCATCCGCCATGGTATTAATTACTAAACTTTTTTTAATAATAATTAATATACACGATAAATTAGTATAAATTTAAGTTCAACTACTTATTAATTATAATAAGTATTCAATGTTAATGACTATTTTGTATTCAGTAACAGTTAGTAGTGTATCTAGTATACAAAACGATGAGACGACTACAGTTTAATAAGTGATGATATTGTGTACTTGTGATGTGTTGTTCTCGTTAAATGTACAAGTCGAAACTAGTTGATTTTCTGGAATACGTATATATTTATCCATCTCTTATTCTATCTTTCTCTAAATATCATTCCCACTATTGAGACAAAAATATTCTTCTTCTCCTTCTTCTTCTTCTTCTACTATACTTCTCATTTTCTTCTCCTATGTATTATATATCGGTATAGAAAAACGCCTAAATACATCATATTTTTTGTAAACAACATACAATGGACGTTACTGCGCCCGTCATGTGACCTAATTCTAGATGAGTATAATACTGTAAAATGTTTCCCTCGCGTTTTATTTCTTCTTCATCTTCTTCTTCTTCTTCTTTCTTATACATATATATTTTGGTATGACTGATAGTTAATAGAACTATAGAAAAATCATCAGCCATATCTTCATCTTCTTTTCGCTTTCTTTTTTCTTGATTTGATATTTATCAGTAAGAAGAAGAAAAATATATGTACAATATCATAGGTCAAATTGTCTCAATGTGCACGTTTTATGATACAAATGCGTAACGCGAAATATTAAGTATACAAAAAAGATCTTTAACAATCCAGAAAGCAAGAGAATATTCATTACATATGATTTAGAGTCAATAATTCAAGTGTTTTTCTTCTTGTTTATTCGATATTAGACTTGTATTAATCATATGAAAATACCAATACTCTAATATTTTTATGTTAAGTTAAGAAATTTATGAACTTATTATCAAGTGATCGAATTATCGTATCATAAGCGAAAAGATGCTTGTACTAAACAATATAATGTATTTTCTTCTATATATCAGCCAAAAAACTTTCAATATATTCACAATGACAATTCTGCACTGTACATATTTAGCAAAAACACAATACACTTATTTTTATCAATAATTGTTTTTTACTAAATTTTATACAATTCTTGTCTCTACATTCTAACGTTATTAGAAAAGAATTAAAAATTGATAACAGAGTAGTTGTTGTTGTTGTTTGTTATTGGTATTGCTATTGTTTTTAAATCTGACACTATATCAACAAAAACTCAATTATTCTATTTTTGTCAAGAAAAAAAAAAAATTATGTACAGTTGTCAGAGTACAACATTACGCACGATAAATCTTTGTCAACTACAATACTTTGCAATATCAACTATAGATGAAAATGGGGAGAGAAAACACGAGTGACATTTTCATGTCCACCTACACGACAAATTAATCGGTAAAAAGAAAAGAGAGGAAAAGAATTGTCTTTACATTAAGAATTACGCACACGAAATAAATTATGAACAGAGCCAATTTCTACATACTGGAAGAATTTTTCTATGTCTAAAAATAGCTAAAAGTATCAAATCGATGTAAATCAATACAAAAGAAAAAAATATCGAATGGTTTTACCAAATAAATGAAGAACTTTTTTTTGAGTGAAAACACAACAATAGAATATTATTTAACATTTTCCCAGAACAATTTTTAGTCAGAAATCGACTTCACCTACAAGAAAACTCCAAGTTGCAAATTTTTTTTGTCACTGAAAATAGGTGGACTATATGTAACTGAAGACATTGATTCTAAATATGAATCCTTAGGCTTTTATTGACCAGTTTTCTGAAAACTGGCTCTTCAGACAACTAGTGATCAAATCTAGAAAATTTTTCTGAATCAGCCATTTTGTACAGGACACAAAACTGTCTGTGTATGTCCTAAATTTTAGTTTTTTAAAATATCATTGAATGGTGCTATGATTTTTGCATCTTATCCTACAGCAACGTTTTTTCATACAAATCAACGGAGCCACTCTTTTGGAAAATTTTCTTACACTATTGATTTTTGTATTGAAAAACTAAAACTTATGGCAGACAGACAGTTTTGTGTCGCCTACAAAATGATTGATTCAGAGAAAAATTTCTGGATTTGGTCCTTCGTTTTCCGAAGATCCAGAAAACCGGTTAACAAAAGCCTAAGGGCAACTTCGATGTTCATATTTGGAATCAATGTCTTCAATTACATATAGTTCACCTAGTTTTATTGAGGAAACGGTTTACAACTTGGGACCGTTCTCTCGTTAGTTGTCAAAATAGAAACCCATACTTATGTGATAATTTTTTGTCGTTCACACTATGTTGGATTGCAAAACGCACATTTTAGAGTGAGCACAAGCCGTAAACACTACTAGCTTTCACGCGTGAATGAGATGATTAGTGAAAATTCGTGTAGTCAAGATATTGAATGTGACACTCTTAAGACCTTCTAAACGGAAATCTCAAAATCAATTCAGGTTGTTTCAAGCTCTTGTAGTAAAAGTTCTTTTACATTTTCTTTCGTATATGCCATAGATATCGAACGTACTGTCGTATGCGAATGTTGATTTATCCTTGAACAACTTTGTCCAAGAAAATATATCGCATCAAAGTTATTCAAAGTATTTTTTCACATTTCTATGTACATAAGAGAGTGAAACAAAACGATAGTTCCAAAATAATCAAAATCTTGTTCTTGACCTTCTATATTTTTCTTATCACGATCTCACTCAGAAAGTTGAAAGAAATAAAGAGCTTGATTACAAGAAGTTTCACTAGGGACAGTAGTAACCTTAGTCAAATCGTATCTAATTTTGCAATAATTTATTATAATAATAATGTTTTTTTAGTCATAGAAGTCGATATATATTTGGTTATATGAATCGTTAGAATTAGCCCCATGTGTCGTGCTACAGAAGTAACTTACTCATTGATGATTAGTTATGTAAGTTCTTTGTCATGAATATAAACATCATTAAAAAATATAATATTAAAAGGATAGAATAAAAATAGTTGAAGAAGAAAAAATCCTTTTTTTAGTTTCACTTTGAATTAGTTAATAAATTTCAAAAATTTTAATTCAAACTTAGATAGTTAAAAAATTGTACATGAAATCTAGTGTCTTTTCTCTATCTTTATTAAAATAAGAATATGTTTTACTATTTGACTTTTTTTTTATTTTTACAAATAATGTGTTGGATGAGCTAGAGGTCACTGTATCCTTCTAATGAATCTTAGAAATACTTCAAAGGTCTATGCTAAAAGATTAACTTTTTACAAATCATTTTCTTCAATAGATCTAAATACTATTATCATTAAATGACAAGAGAAAATACAAAAACGCTATTTTATTTTTTTTTAACATAGATTTGTTACAAAAAAACAAATAATAGGATTTCTTTCCATGTTGGATTAGAATGAATTCATAGAAGTAGTTTTTCTCTCTCTCTCTCTTTCTGTCTCTGTACTTGTACATATACGATGAATAATTTCTCTTTCTTTCTTACGCTTTGAACTTGATTTATAATTTGTTTGCATAAATTATACACTGAACATAAAATAGGGTGATGTTAGTGATGATGATGATGATGATGATGAGAGAAAGAGAGAGAGAGAGAGAGAGAAAACAACACAAATTGAATTTACACAATTGAAATCGTACAATAACACGGTATACATACACGCAATTACATGAAACAAGATTTATGGGTATATATCTATATGTGACGCAAATCAACATTATATTCGATGTTGTCTATTAACTCAATTTTATATTTAAAAGATAAAGAATGTACCTGTATATCCGTTTAAAATACAATGCTTTAGTTACGCACAAAGAAGACTATGCAAATAGAAGGATTAGAATCCTTATATTTACTATTTTTTAGGAAAACTTATTTTTAATCTAATTGAAGTAAACCTTGTCTCATAGTTAGAACAGTGTAGTATTAATACATCTCTTTTATCATAGATAAAAGTCTGTTCTCAAATTTTTTAAGTGATAAAATATTGTAGAATATAAGATTTATTATCGGTATATTTAAATATTGATCTAATCTCGACAATAGAATTATTCTATTTTCGTTAAATTTTTGTCTTTTTTTTATTTAATTTATATAATAGATAACATTAAATGACTTAGTTATTTTGATATTTTCAAATTATAATTAAGAAATGATGTCAAATTAATGTTAAAAAAAGAGAAAATTGAATGAAGATATAACATTTGTATCAACTAATCTCCTTCTTTTTTTTTTTTTTCTTTTTGCTTCTAAATGGACTAGACATAATAAATTGTGTACAAGTTTACTATGTCGTGTAAAACACATATATACACACATCTATATAACACCATCATCTATCAATCAATCAGTCAATCACAAAAATAACATTTTGTAATTGGAGACGTTTAAACGACAAAATGATTTAAAAGAGAATAATTTTTAAATACAAGAATAAATATCTTTTCTTTTTTTGTTTTTTGCATGATTAATCTCAATCATGACACACAGAAAACACATTAGAATCCCACCTAGAATAATAAAAGATTAATGGAAACGTTGCAATCATCAACAAAAATCAAATCATTTTCTTTTAGAACTAAAAAGTTGAGAAGAAAAAAACAGATAGATTCTTACAGTTTGTCTAAAAACACACAAGAGAATTTGATGTAAAAAGGAGTATGTTTTTCAATATTTTTTAAAATAATACTTACATGATACTTGACGATGTTCAGTTTTTGTTAATGATAAATTATTATTATTATTCAATAATATATGATTTTCTATAAAACGTCGTTTTCTACGTGTTGGTTCATCATTTAATTGTTTCGTTGTTTCAATATCAAATGAACGTAATTTATTATTATTCATCGTATTTTTATTACATGAATTTAGTAATTCATTTAAAACGTTAATAGCTTGTTGAGCAGGTACTATTTCTTGTTCTGAATAATCCATTGATGGTGAAGCATCACTCAATGTCGATAGATCATCATCTACTGTTGTCGAAGATGTCGATATAGTTGTAGATATTGTTGCATTATGTTGATATTTTAAAGATTTAGCTGCACGTCGTTCTTCTTCACTAGCAACTTCAGATATTGTATCAAGATGATGTAAACGATTATAATGAGATGATGGAGATTTAGTAGGAACGGGTGTTACGGCTGTTGTATTAGAAACAAATTGAAAATCAACATCTTCTTCATATCCATCTAATATACCATAACCAGAATCAATATTTCCATTTACATAGTCACCACCATCTGATAAATCATCATTATCAACATGAATTGAATCAGCATTTATCTCATCATTAAAATCCCAATCAATTGTATTTGATGATTGTTGATGATGATTATTTCCATTTGTTGAAGTAGTTGCTATCATTGATGTTGAATAAGTATCAATAAAACCTCTTGATGTTAAAGTTTTTAGAATATCTCGAACATTATTATTTGTTTTTCTTGAATATTTTGATCCACTACAATGATCCATATCATTTTCATCTAATGAATCTTCATCGGCACTAGTAGCATCATATCTATGTATAATTGATGGAGTTGTTTTATTTCGTTCTAAACTATCAGGTGATAAACTTCTTTCTCGAACTACGGGTAGATGAAGTCGATCATGAATAATATAATCAGAAGAATTAGTCATTATTGATGTATTACTTGGTATATTTTGTTCAATTTTAAAATGACGTAATAAATATTGTTGAAATTCAAACATATTTTATTTTCTCTAATAATTGTTTCTTTTTATCTATATTTTAGATGAACAATTCTATTGATCATAATTGATGATGAAACTGTGCAATTTTTACAAAACAATTGACAAACACATTTATGAACAATATTTTATGTTTAAAATATATTGTGGAATATATAAAAAATGATTCTTTCTCTCTCTTTTTTCTTTTCGTTGTATGTATGTATGAAACAATACCTCAGAGAGTTTTATCGGTATATATATATATATACATATATATGTTATATATATATATATATAAATTTCTTTTTTACTTTACTTTTCTGCTGCCAAAAAAAAGTAACAACCGTATAATAGATATGTAGTTACATTTAAAACAAGATAAAAAAAACGTAGAAGAAAGAAAAAGTCATTTTTCTTATATTGTCTCAATTTTTTTTCCCTCTCTCTCTATATGAGTGTGTGTGTGTGTGTATATTGGAGAGGGAGATCAGGTATAGATATGATTATTAGTGTAGATTGACCGCAAGTATAGAGAAAGAAGAACGAACAGGTTCTTATTTATTCTAGTGACTCGTTTAGAACAATCAAAAATAAAAATTTTTTTTTTTTCATAACAAAAATCAATGTACCTTGACATAAAGTATTTAATTAGAGAATACAATAGATTATAAAGAGTGATATATAGTGTTACATTAGTACATTGTTCACTAATAAAAAGTAACAATTAATCGATAAATTGTACTTAATAAAGCGGTTTCTTAAATTTGACAGATCTATTATCGATCTTCTAGTCTTATTCATTATTATTTTGATCAATCTTGTCCTCATAAAAGTCAAATATCATATTAAAAATGTTAATTTTCTTTTCATTAACATAGCAATAACATGATATACAATGTCAAATCGTCGCTATTATTTACTTTTAGTTTTTTCAATTAGTATCATCGAATGTTCAAGGTATGAACAGGCTTTCTGATCAGAGGAGAGGAGACCGGTTCCTCTCTCAAAACATTTCGGTAAAATCTCTAACTTCTGTCAAAAATTTAGAAAAAATTTTTCTCGCCAACCACTTTCTGTGAACAAAAATGTTTAGCTTCTCCCATCCTTGAGAACAGATCGGAAACCCTGAGTATAGGTGAGAAGGAAATCAGTATACATTTTTCTTTTTGTTGAAAAAAAAAATCATAAACAGTACAAATCATCAGTTTGAAAATTTCTTTCTTCTCTCACATATGATCAGTAGAAAGATGGAAAAGGTCGGTCACTAGAGTTAAATTAGATGCCATTGGGTACTTTTTCTTTTTCAATTGAAAGTGGCACATCATTGTTAGTTAACTAACAGTAAGTAGAAACATCCAGAAGGCCAAACAAAACGTTTCTCTATGCTTTTGTTAGAAAAGAAGTCATAGCCAACAAAAAACAGACAATTATGCACGTTTTCTGTTATTATTATTCTCTCATACTTCTACAGTAAATAGAAAAGAAATAAAAAAAAAAAAAAAAAAAAAAAAATAAATTGTGTAAATTTATTTTAAAAAATTTTTTTTTTTTAAAAAAAAAATTTTTTTTTTTTTTTTAGTAT